TTGTTTTCTGTTTGTAAGATAACTTTTAATCAAATAATAAGCTTTATTAATTATTCCGTAATGTCTTAATTTATCTAAGAGAATTTAAGAGAATAAAGTTTAAACTGCAGTTTATAATTAATAATTATCAAATAATTGTTATTTTGTAATTATTAATTTTAAGCTTCTTTTTAACCAAAACTCTCTCTTTAGTAATTAAATTACTAAAAAGATAAAACATTTTAGTAGCGGCAAAAAAGTCAATTTTACAAATCTATTAAAGCTGTTTTATTTCTATTTTTTCTAGATAAATTATGTTATGACATAGTCATAAAGAGAATTCATTTTTATGACTATGGTTATGACATATTTAGCAGTTATATAATTAACTGCTAAATATGTCATAACCAATAATTCTTAATAGATGATTTACAGGCTTCCCTTTTTTCAGGGTAAAAACGGTAAATTGTCCAAAAACTTTGGTGGACCATAATGTGACTCAAACTGTGTTAAACTAATAGTGTTTTTGCGTTTTACCTTATTTTTAGTGAAAAAACTCTTAACCTTATTTTAAGTGGAAAGCTCAACCATAATTAAAAGAACGCAGTGTAAGGTACAAAAATGTTTTTCGTGTATTAACCGTTTTCGGTAAAAACGGTTAACCGTTATAGAGTTAACCGTTTTTACCGAAAACGCTTAACTCTATAAATAACTCGCACAACTTTGTAAAACAAACATACGTCAGGCCAGGTGAATAAAAAAAAACAATTGCTTTTACTTACCGTTTTTAGTTAATTGTTCAGCTTTACGCGAGTAAAAGTTTGACCAAAGTAAAATTGACCAATTAATAATTTAAAGCAATACATTTTTTCACAGATATAAATTTTATGCGCGCGCAGAAATGAAAATTAAACGTCAAAAAACGTTTAACGTTTTGATATTGAAAAAATCAAAACGTTAAATGTTTAATAACGTTTGTTAAACGTTTAAATATTGAAAAAATTACGTAATTTTTTCAATATTTACAAAGCAAAACTAAAATTTATCAAACATTATTATTAAATCAGTCCCATTAGTCTTTTATAAATTATATATAAATTTTTTTAGATTGACTTTACATCATAGCTAATCTGTTTTTACATTGATAGATTTTATACATATATATATACATTTATATATATATATAAATATATATATATATATATATATATATATATATATATATATATATATATATATATATATTTATATATATATATATATATAAATGTTTATATATATATATATAAATATGTTTAGATTGGCTTTACATCATAGCTAATCTATTTTTACATTGATAGATTTTATACATATATATATATATATATATATATATATATATATATATATATATATATATATATATATATATATATATATATATATATATATATATATATATATATATGCATATATATTTATATATACAGAGCCGGCGCGAGTAGGTGTCAAAAAGGGTCAAATTTGCTAACGAAATTCATTAATGGTTATAATATATATATATATATATATATATATATATATATATATATATATATATATATATATATATATATATATATATATATATATATATATATATATATATATATATATATATATATATATGTGTGTGTATGTGTGTGTGTGTGTGTGTGTGTGTGTGTGTGCAGCCGTGGCGCAGTGGTAGCGCACTTGCCTCAGAAACGTAAGATCCGTGGTTCAAACCCCACCTCTAAGCAAGTTTTACGACATCGGTTGGGAAGAAGGCGTGAACTTCCTATTAAATGTTTTTCCGCAGTGCTCTGTGATAAGACCGTAAGGACTTCTTGGGGCACCTAAATCAACTTAAAAAATAATAATAATAAAAAAAAAAAAATAAAATAAATAAAATAAAAAAAAAAAATTAAAATAAAAAAAAAAAAATAAAAAAAATAAAATCTATCAATGTAAAAACAGATTAGCTATGATGTAAAGTCAGTCTAAACATATTGGTTTTCTTAGATTACTCAAAGCTAAGCAAATAATAATATCATCAAATAGTTTCAACATTGTAAATGGAAACTCTGTTGACGAAATTTGAAATGTTATTGGTCTTCTAATAACTCGTTCAACCAATGTCCTAAAATTAGCGATTTCTTTTATTTTTGAGCTGCATCTTAAAATTAGCGATTTCTTTTTTTCATTTGAGCTGCATCTTTCCAACCAGAGGCAACTATATGATAGATGAAACATTCAGAAAATTTAGCATTAAAATTAAAGCCTTTATCATACATTATACAAGAGTATTTTGGTATGCAATCTAAATAGTTGTTGCGATTTATAAATTCTTTATCTGAAATTTAGCCTTTGTAAGGTTTAGAAATTATTTAAAGAAATGATCGATGAGTTTGGAACTACAGATACTAATGTTTTTATATTTTAATTGTTTTAAAAAACAACTAAAAATTTAGACTTACAGTTTCTGTAAGTCTAAATTTTTAGGTGTTTTTTTAAAACAATTAAAATCTCTGTTATATTTGAAGTTTAGCGTGTCTGAATAATTTAATTTCTTAAATCTGTTTGACATTGTCTGTTTTATGACATCTTTACTTGGAACAAAAATAGCATATGCTTTAAAAGTGAACTAGAAGCTTTCACCCATGTAGAAAA